CCTTTCCTCAAGATATGCTTGCGTATCGGCTAAGATCTGATTCTGCTCCCGCAAATGATTCAACTGAATCTGCAAGTCAAACACGTGGCGAGAGATCACTGATACTGTGCTAACCGACGAACTCGGAGGGTCACTGGCCGGGCTTGCTGCACCGGACGAAGGCTCCGCCATGCGAGACCCCCCTTGAGGATGCCAACTCACTACTAAGCAAGTTCAATGGAAAGTGAATGTAAATACAGTCTCTTACATAAAATGACCAAGACTCATGAGTCGTGCCAAAACAAGAAGCACACAGACATGCATGATGCCTTTCTTGACCTTTCTCTGCTCGAGCAGCTTTGCGGCTAGATGAGCAACAAGGATGAATCATCATGCGTTAGAACAGAAATGTAAAACAGTTTTGAGCAAGCACAAAAAGCAGGCGGCCCACGCGAGGGCCTTCGTCCGGGCTCAAGAGAACCCACTATCTCGGAGCGAGACTGTGTGGATATACATATATATATATATATATATATATATACATATATAGCCCACGGCGTCCCCGTGCGGAGCAGTGGACGCTGTCTTGCGAAAGCTGCATTCTGTCGGTGGGCTATGTATATGTAGCCTCTGCACGGAGCCCTGATTGCACTGACGAAGTGTGCAAAAGCTGCTGAGTGAGCGTGAGGGAGCAACGGAGTGCATCGATGTTGTTTGCTTTTCTTTGCTGCGCAGTTTCCTGTTCTTCGGCGATCACCATCCAGTCCTTGCTGCACGGGCCTTACTCGGAGTTTTGGTCGCTTGTGCTGCACGTCGGGCATGCTCTACGCATGATGCCAGTCTCTTGCAGCCTGGTTCAAGATCGGTGCGATTGTAGCTATTTTGTTTACGCAGTGCAGACGCTGTCTTGCGAAAGCACTGTGTGCGGAGCACATGGCTGGATCCTTCGAGAAATTTTTTGAACTTCTTGATTTGTCTACTGAACGCGCAGAGAATGTAGACATGAAGACGGTGAGGAAGAAGTACAGAGCGAAGATGTTTACGTGCCATCCCGACAAGGCCGGCTGCGAAAAGAATGAGCTCTGCAAGTTTCTCACCGGGGAAATGACTCGTTTGGAGGCGTATCGCAAAGATCTCCCCCCGTGGTTTTCTGGCGCCTCCAACTCTGCGAACAGCGGGTCATGGAGTCATGCGAATCACACCGCTTCGCAGGCAGCAGGCTCTGGGAGGCGTGGACCGCAGCCGCCGTTTGCCGCCCCGAAGCCAAGGCCTGCGTCTCGGAATGAGCCTCGGCCTGCATCTGAGACCGAGCGTCCGAGCTCTGACTGTCCGAAGGCGCCTCATTGCGAAGGCTTTGAACACAAATACCGCCGTCTGACTGCAGAGCGTAGAGCGGAGTACAAATTTCTGTACGCGGCCAGTGAGGGCTGCGTTCGCTGTATGCAGCACTACGCCGGCCTCCCGAACTTCGATGCGCACTGCGTCTCGTCGAGGATGAACGCTCGTGGCTGGGCCGCGCGGCATCTCACCGCAGAGGTGGAGGCCTGCTTGCAAAGAATGGGTCTCTGAGTTTGGAGACGCGCGCTGCTGCCGAATGGACGCTGTCTTGCGAAAGTTCGGCGGCGCGGCGTAGCAAAGTTAGCAATGCAAGGCTGATGTGCGACAAAAAATGTGTGGCAGCAGGAAAGCGAGTGTGTATTGCCGTGATTTTCTTTGCTTCTTGCTTCTCTTGCATCCATTCCAAGCCCTTGTGCTGGAGCTCAGGTTGTCTCGACTCGCAAGAAGAAGCCCGCCGGTCTTCTCCTCAGCAAGACAATCGCTCGGTAACGGGCTGCAGTTATCCCGTTTGCAAGTTTGCAAGTGGTCTAGCGACGCGTTGTGTTTGTTTTGTTTGCACGACAACGTGGGCCTTGCCTTTGCCGCACATGTCTCGCGGGCATGCTGTGCTTGTGATGCCAGTCTCTTGCAGCCTGGTTCAAGATCGGTGCGATCGTGGCTATTCTGTTTACGCAGTGCAGACGCTTTCTTGCGAAAGCAGTGCGTGCGGAGCACATGGATGGATCTTTCAAGAACTTTCTTTATCATCTTGGATTTTTCACTGAATGCGCAGCGACTGTAGACTTGAAGTCCCTGAGGAAGACGTACAAAAAGATGATGCTTCGGTGTCATCCCGACAAGATCGGCTCGGCGGGGGACGAGATCACCAAGTTTCTCACCGGGGAAATGACTCGTCTTGAAAGGTATCGCGAAAATCTCGCTGATGTCCCCCCGTGGTCGTCCGGCACCTCCGGCTCTGCGAACAGCGGGTTCTGGAGTCATGCGAATGACACCACTTCGCAGGCAGCAGGCTCTGGGAGGCGCGGAACGCAGCCGCCGTTTGCCGCCCCGAAGCCAAGGCCTGCGTCTCGGAATGAGCCTGGGCCTGCATCTGAGACCGAGCGTCCGGGATCTGACTGTCCGGATGCGCCTCATTGCTCTGGCTTCGAAAAGAAGCACGGCAAGTTGACGGCAGAGCGAAAGGCCCAATACAAATTTCTTTACGCGGCCAGTCAGGGATGCGCTCTATGCATGCGGCACTATGCCAGCTTGCCGAACTTCGATGTGCACTGCCTCTCGTCGGGAAAGAACGCTCGTGAATGGGCTGAGGAGTGCCTGGGTGATCTTGGTGCAGTAGTGGATGACTGCTTGTATCGAATGGGTCTGTGAGCGTGTAGGCGTGCGCTGCCGAATGGACGCTGTCTTGCGAAAGTTCGGCGGCGCGGTGTAGCAAAGTTAGCAGGGCGAGGCTGTGGGTCTCTGAACTTGGAGGCACTCGCTGCTGCCGAATGGACGCTGTCATGCGAAAGTTCGGCGGCACGGTGTAGCAAAGTTAGCAATGCAAGGCTGCTGTGCAACAAAAAAATACGTGACAGCAGGAACACGAGTGTGTATTGGTGTGATTTTCTTTGCGATCCAAGTTCGTTTGCTGCAGCTCAGGTTCTCGTGACTCGCAAGATGCCCGCCGGTCTTCTCCTCAGCAAGACAATCGCTCGGTAACCGGCTGTAGTTATCTCGTTTGCGATTTTGCAAGTGGTCCAGCGACGCTTCGTGTTTGTTTTGCAAGACAACGTGCACCTAGCGGCGTCTCGAATGTGAGCAAAGCCACGTAGATCAAGCTCGACGAAGCTCTGCTGGTCCTACCCTTGCTGAGAGGTGCTGTTGTGCTGCTGAAACGATGTGCTGTGCCGTCGACGCGGCCAGACCCTATGGAACATTGCGTTTGATTGTGTTTCTGGTTGTGGAGGTGATACTCCTTCGGAGTGTGTTGATTTTTGGCTCGTTCGGCTTCCTTAAGCGAATCTATTGGGCCTGCAACCAGAATCGCAGCAGACGCAGCAAGCAAGGTTCCGCAGGAATCCCTCCCTCTCTCTCTCTCTCTCTCTCTCTCTCTCTCTCTCTCTCTCTCTCTCTCTCTCTCTCTCTCTCTCTCTCTCTCTCTCTCTCTCTCTCTCTCTCTCTCTCTCTCTCTCTCTCTCCTCTCTCTCTCTCTCTCTCTCTCTCTCTCTCTCTCTCTCTCTCTCTCTCTCTCTCTCTCTCTCTCTCTCTCTCTCTCTCTCTCTCTCTCTCTCTCTCTCTCTCTCTCTCTCTCTCTCTCTCTCTCTCTCTCTCTCTCTCTCTCTCTCTCTCTCTCTTCTCGTAAGCAGCAGTAGTTGGCTACCTGTAAAGTCGATGGGGCCTCTAATTCGGACCAGTGTTCGGGGCTTTAACTTTAAATCCTTGTATCTGCGGATGCCCCACTTGCGGCTGCAACCAACCAACGCAGCACCACCAAGAAAAACGAGGATGCGGTCGGGCGCCGCTTCACGACGCTGCTTTTGGTTGTCCTTTGCGACACCAGACGGCCATGCACCCGCCCCACGTCAAGAAGGTCGAGAACGCCCTGCACAGGCTACGTCGATTGGACCTGGCCGGAGGTTACAGCGGCAGGTGGTACTCTACGGTTTACAGCACCGAGTGAGATCCGGTGAACTTCGACCCGGAAGGGGGATCGCCGAGCGCTGTTCTTCCTCTTTCTTGTTTCGTTGCTTCATTGCAGCTGCTGCGGAATTATTGCTCCCGACTAGTTCTGCCCTTGGGGATTGGGTTATGCCGCCGGGCTTGATTTCGAATTTACACATCTGCGACGAAGGTCGACATGCTGCTTTGCCTCGCACCGAGTCATCACGGGAGGTTTTTCTTTCGGTCCCTAAGATCCCTGACCCACAGTGGAATCCAAGAGAGAAAGCGGAACCTCGAAAGTGAAGTGGGACTAGGCTGCCATCGTGTTTGCCTGCCTTCGTGTCTCTCATTCGAGTCCCTTCTCGACTCTTCTCATCCTGCATGGAATCAGGCCTGCACTGCCGCGGATCCCAACCCGGTTTCTTGAAGCGAACCCTGGGTAGGAGGCGACCTCATGAGCTCTCCTCCGACTAGGTTCCATTGCACTGCCGATCTCAACTCTCGCCCTGCACTCTATCAGCCTGTCCTCGCGTAACTTCCACCTAGTGGCATGTAGGGCTGACATGTTAGCGTTTGACGTTCGAGACATCAAATCGTTTTCAACCGTAGCTTCCATAGCGGCAAATGGAAGGAGTCGCGTCCTTAAAGTATTGGCCCCGAACCCTAAATAATACGGTTTGGGGAGGCAGGCGTTTGATGTGATTGAGGTTTGTGGAGCCTCGGAGTTGCAAGGCGATTCAAGAAGGCCAAGGAAAAAACTAGGCGTTCGAAATTCCGCAGGTATAAGTAGAATAGGACCTGTCTTACTCGTCTGTTAGTGTGTGGGGCTTGGTTTGGATTCAATTCATGGCTGGTTATGGGCATTGGTCTGGCGGCCCAGGTCGGCGGCGAGAATCTTCAGCGGTGAAGACCTTGGTGCTTCTGTGAGCGTTGGTACGGGTTCAGTGACTGTAACAGCAGTTCAAATTGCGACGAAGGAGGGCTGCGCGAAGGGTAGCCGCAGGCCGAAAATCCGTCCCTGCTGAAGTTTCCGGAGGCGAGCCATGTCGCTACCCCTGATCTCGCAGCTGCTCTGTCCGATCCGTGGTCCTTTGATCCAGAAGCAGGGGCCGTACCCGTCGGACCGGGATGTTCGCCGTTATGCGGCGGGAATGTACGCCGAGTACTGCGAGTATTGCAGAGGTTTGTGTGGCCGCACGCAGGACAAGGTGACGGAGTTGCTGGCGCAGTTCGAAGCAGAAACTCAAGACAACACCGCAGCGGAATTGCTCTGGTTGCTGGAGTACCACTATGTGCGCATCCCAAGCGCACGTACAGAGGTGCGGGAGTTCTTTTCGGCAATCTTCGAATGCACGGTCGAGGAGTACATGGAGCACATGGCTCGCCAAGGTTTCGGGACCAAGGACGTGGAGATCTTCGGCATTTTTTTTGAAGAGGACTTGTTTTGAGACGAGTTGCGTGTCTGAAATTCATAATTTGTTGCGAGCTTCAGTTCGTTCATAATTAGTTGCGAGCCTCATCTCGCTGGCTGTAGCCACAAGGCTGATCTTCGGCCACTGTGTCACTGTCGCACGGATTTAGGCAGCAGGATGACCGTGGCACCGCATGGACGCTGTCTTGCGAAAGTGCGGGGCTGCGGCCAACCTTATGGCCGAGGCCGTGATTTCCTAGCGAGGTGCCAGACAAAAGCAGACATCGACGCGTGTTGTCTTGGGCCATCTTCGAAGTTGCCCGGTTCCCGTAGCCGTCTCTTGCTCGTGCTATCGGATGTGTCGGTAGGCTCGGACATGCTGCGACTTCGCGCTCTGAGTGGTGAGCAGCTCTTGGTCGTGGATCCGCGGGAGCAGCCCCCCTTGCAGAATGTCGTGGATACGTTGTATTCTATCATGACCACTCGTCTTCGAGTGGTAGAGAGTCGCCTGAACTTTCATTCCATGGATGACTCTCGGCCGCTCGACCGATTGGATGTTTGGCAGGATTCGGAGCATTTGCTGGCAGGACACGATTTGGATGTTCTCATGCTCCTGCGACCATGTCGATCCGGCGGCGGGGAAGGGCTAGCCTGGGCCATAGACCGTGGCCACTGCTTCGAGGTGGATCGGTTGCTTGCAAGCTGGGTGGATCCGAACGTTGACTTGTCGGAGCATCGCGTTGTGAGGGAGCATGCGTGTTATACTCCGCTCTGTCTCGCTTCGTCAATTCCTCACATGCGCCACCCCATAGTGGAGAGCCTTCTTGCCTCGGGAGCTGCGTTGGAGACGGAAGGACCCATCCCTCTCTGCTGCGCCTGTGCCGTGGACAACGTGGAAGTGGCGACCTCGTTGATCTCTGCCAGAGCAGAAGTCAATCGCCGAGACTGGGAAATGGACTCTCCCTTGCTCATTGCCGCGTCGATGGGTTCGATATCGATGGCACGGCTTCTGCTGCGAAATGCGGCGGACGTTTCTCAGGAGGATGCCAAAGGTCGCGGTCCCATCGAAACGTGCTTCACAGATTCTTGGGTCGGTCCGGTAATCTCTTTGCTGCGAGCGGGTGCTACAGTGCGACCTTACACGGAGAACTTTCATCTGCTTCACCAAGCCGCTGAAAGAGGCAGCCTGAACTGGGTGACGTGTTTGGTGCGGGCGCGAGCTAACCCCGAGGCTCGCGACGAACTCGGGCATCTCCCCCTCGACGTGGCACCGCGCTTCTCTGGTTTCAAGCGTCGGGTTCAATTCAGAAGACGTCTTCGCGGGTTTGGGATCTGAACATGCCGGCCGCCGCGATGAGTAGCCCCGCCATGCGCCGCTAAGCCACTATCGTGTCATTTGGGGTTTTCATTTCCGATTGGGTGTTTCACCCTCCGAGTCCTGCCGTGGAAAGAAAGCAAAAAAAGCACAAAAAACACCAATTATGTCATGGTTTGCAGCTGAGTTTTGTGGAGCCAACACACATGTTTTCATGCTTTGGGCACACACATACACCGAAATATTTGTGCATATTTTAAATGTTTTGCATGTTTTCCTCTGGTGTGCTCAACTGTCGTTTTGCCAAATCAAACTTGTTGTCAGCAAATCACATGGGAAACCGTTTTTTAACACCACACATCACACTCATGGAACAGTTTTGCAGCAGCTATGAACACGACCCTAAACTCTTAAACCCTAAGCCGACTCCCTAAATCCCAAGTCTTAAACTCTTTGGTTGCTAGGGCTTAGATGGTTTTGGGTGCAGGGATATTAGTCTTCGGGGTCATTCAGGGTGCCTCGGTGGGGGTTGAACAAGCCCCCTCTTGGCTTAGTGGGGTGATAGGGTTATTCAGGGTGCCTTGGTGGGGGTTGAACAAGCCCCCTCTTGGCTTAGGCAAGTAGTGGGGTTTTTAGGCAGGTGCTGGAGTTTTTCAGGGTGCCTTGGTGGGGGTTGAACAAGCCCCCTCTTGGCTTAGGCAGGTAGTGGGGTTTTTTGCAGGTGTTGAGTTGTTCAGGGTGCCTTGGTGGGGGTTGAACAAGCCCCCTCTTGGCTTAGGCAGGTAGTGGGGCTTTATGCAGGTCTTGAGTTGTTCAGGGTGCCTTGGTGGGGGTCGGCTCGGGTTTTGGGGTTGGGGTTTAGAGTGCTTGCCCAGAAGCCCGAAGCAAGACCCGAAATGCCCAAATTCTTTAACCCTGAACCCTAAACCCAAACCCCCGAAGCCCTACTCCCCTGAGCTCTGAACATGATGCCTCATCCTGAATTGTAAGGCTAAACTCCTCCATAGCAATAGTTGCCAAGCCCCCAATTTGCACATGCCATCGACCTTCACCTCAGCCCTGAACCCCTGCGCCTCTAACCCTGTCGTTGCAGGCCTTTGAGCCCTAACCTTTACACCCTAAACCCCCAAACCCTACACCTGCGGTGGCACAACACTGCTTGCGCCCGACGACGAGGCATGGCATTCGCTTGCAACCGGTTGGGTTCTGTATTTTTCTCACACAACCATGAATTGAAATGATTCTTAGTTGCAGGGTTCCGCTGCAAAAAAACAGGTTGCAACCAGTTGCATTCTGTAACTTGTGGCAAATCAGATGACTTGAATACAGGTTTCTGTGGCAAAATACAGATTGCAACCAGTTGCGTTCTGTAACTTGTGGCAAAAACATCAATTCAGATGACTTGAATACAGGTTTGTGTGGCAAAAAAACAGATTGCAACCAGTTGCGTTCTGTAACTTGTGGCAAAACCATCAATTCAGATGACTTGAATAGAGGTTTCTGTGGCAAAATACAGATTGCAACCAGTTGCGTTCTGTAACTTGTGGCAAAAACATCAATTCAGATGACAGGAATACAGGTTTCTGTGGCAAAAAACAGATTGCAACCAGTTGCGTTCTGTAACTTGTGGCAAAACCATCAATTCAGATGACTTGAATACAGGTTTCTGTGGCAAAATACAGATTGCAACCAGTTGCGTTCTGTAACTTGTGGCAAAAACATCAATTCAGATGACTGGAATACAGGTTTCTGTGGCAAAATACAGATTGCAACCAGTTGCGTTCTGTAACTTGTGGCAAAAACATCAATTCAGATGACTTGAATACAGGTTTCTGTGGCAAAAAACAGATTGCAACCAGTTGCGTTCTGTAACTTGTGGCAAAATCATCAATTCAGATGACTGGAATACAGGCTTCTGTGGCAAAATACAGATTGCAACCAGTTGCGTTCTGTAACTTGTGGCAAAAACATCAATTCAAATGACTTGAATACAGGTTTCTGTGGCAAAAAACAGATTGCAACCAGTTGCGTTCTGTAACTTGTGGCAAAAACATCAATTCAGATGACTTGAATACAGGTTTCTGTGGCAAAAAACAGATTGCAACCAGTTGCGTTCTGTAACTTGTGGCAAAAACATCAATTCAGATGACTTGAATACAGGTTTCTGTGGCAAAAACAGATTGCAACCAGTTGCGTTCTGTAACTTGTGGCAAAACCATCAATTCAGATGACTGGAATACAGGTTTCTGTGGCAAAATACAGATTGCAACCAGTTGCGTTCTGTAACTTGTGGCAAAAACATCAATTCAGATGACTGGAATACAGGTTTCTGTGGCAAAATACAGATTGCAACCAGTTGCATTCTGTAACTTGTGGCAAAAACATCAATTCAGATGACTGGAATACAGGTTTGTGTGGCAAAAAACAGATTGCAACCAGTTGCGTTCTGTAACTTGTGGCAAAACCATCAATTCAGATGACTGGAATACAAGGTTTCTGTGGCAAAAAACAGATTGCAACCAGTTGCGTTCTGTAACTTGTGGCAAAACCATCAATTCAGATGACTTGAATACAGATTTCTGTGGCAAAAAACAGATTGCAACCAGTTGCGTTCTGTAACTTGTGGCAAAACCATCAATTCAGATGATTTGAATACAGATTTCTGTGTCAAAAAACAGATTGCAACCAGTTGCGTTCTGTAACTTGTGGCAAAACCATCAATTCAGATGACTTGAATACAGGTTTCTGTGGCAAAAAACAGATTGCAACCAGTTGCGTTCTGTAACTTGTGGCAAAACCATCAATTCAGATGACTTGAATACAGGTTTCTGTGGCAAAAAACAGATTGCAACCAGTTGCGTTCTGTAACTTGTGGCAAAACCATCAATTCAGATGACTTGAATACAGGTTTCTGTGGCAAAACACAGATTGCAACCAGTTGCGTTCTGTAACTTGTGGGCAAAACCATCAATTCAGATGACTTGAATGCAGGTTTCTGGCAGATTGCAACCAGTTGCGTTCTGTAACTTGTGGCAAAACCATCAATTCAGATGACTTGAATACAGGTTTCTGTGGCAAAAAACAGATTGCAACCAGTTGCGTTCTGTAACTTGTGGCAAAACCATCAATTCAGATGACTTGAATACAGGTTTCTGTGGCAAAAAACAGATTGCAACCAGTTGCGTTCTGTAACTTGTGGCAAAAACATCAATTCAGATGACTGGAATACAGGTTTCTGTGGCAAAAAACAGATTGCAACCAGTTGCGTTCTGTAACTTGTGGCAAAAACATCAATTCAGATGACTTGAATACAGGTTTCTGTGGCAAAACACAGATTGCAACCGGGTGCGACCTGTAACTTCGTAGTCGTAGTAACAGTTGAGAGATCTAGGGCCGTTGAGGTCCTCGTGTTTAGAGGTCAGGTTTAAGGGTTTAGGGCTGGTGCATCATGTCACATCAGGCATGTCATGTCATGCCATGTCATGTTCTGGAACCCTAAACCCAAAACCCTAAACCGTGGCACATAATGCATGATATGCCATGTCCTGTTCTGGTTTAGGGGTTTAGGGGTCCCATCTCGGCTCGGGTTGGGGGGTTGGGGTTTAGGGTGCCTATGAAGTCGCACGAGACGATCCTTTGCAAAGAGCCATTGTTTCATGGCACACGGTCGTGGACGGAAGATTGAAAGGCCCGGATACATGAAAACACTAATGAACTTTGCTCGTCATCCAAAAAGGACGGCTTCCAGAATAAGACCACACACATCATGATCTAGCCACCCATGTGTGCGTCGTAAGCATTGGGGCTCACCTGGTACAAATTTGTGGCCAGCATGCACAGGAAGTCACATGTCAAGCATGGGCGGACATGTTGGCTGCAAAGAACTGCACCGCCAGATGTTATGCTCCAGCTCTTCTTACAGCCTGCAGGAAGTCCGGCTGATGCAAGCTGGTATGCGTCCGAGGGTGAAACTGTCAAAGGAGGAGATCAATTAGATCAGGTCTCTGCATAAATGTCTCGCACCACAGCCACTACAGGTAAAGTGAGGGTTGATGCATGTCTAAACTCGGCCTGCGCAAGAGCGGCAGGGAGGCTGCGAGGGAACTGCCATCAGCCTCGTAGTGAAAAAGGGTTGGGGTTGGGGGTTTAGGCGAGTCGGAGCTGAGCTGAGGATTGACTGTGACTGTGGTGTTTATGGAGCATCCCAGCTTCGATTTGATTGCAAGAGTTTCTTCGGATTTTCGGTGCTTAACACTGCCCTGGCACTCACTTTTTTCTTCATCAATACCCCAGAAGCATCTCAGGTCCCCAGCAAAAGACACATCGTTTGTGCATCTTCAATCCCCCAAAAGTGAGCCCCTCATGAAGTTCGTGGCATTGATCCACTGGCAGTGTGCTGCAATAACTCGTGCCTTGTTCTGCTTAAGGCTGCACAGCAGGATTTTCTTTAACTTGTCCATGTCGTCACTTGAAACCCTGGCTGACAAGTCCATCCCAGCAAAAACCAGAGCCAAAGCAGATTCTCTGCTGAAGGGAGGTATAGCACCAGGATTGGGCTTCAGGTTATCGAGCATGTTGTGGGCATTGCACATGATCGAATGCAAGTCAGCCATTGTCAGGAAAGCCCGCAGATCGTTGAAGAGACTCAAGAGGGCCTCTTTGTAAGTCTCGACATGGTTTATGTGCTCTTTGTAAGTCTCGACATGGTTGTCCACCGCCCGTCTTTTCTGAGTCACATCGTCGAGACTGAGCTTCCTCCGTAACCTAATCGTCGGCACCATCCGGTTGTTGCATCCTCGCTTTGTTGGCCTGCACCTGCTGCACATCTTGTCGCGCCGGTAAGTTCGGCGCGTTGTGCAGAGCAAACATTGCCACGGCATGACTAGCAACTAGAGTTCGGAATGTTCTCTCTACTTGACTCAACCACTGTTCAGATCATTGTGTGCTTCCTGTCTCCGTTCGTCCTCTGCTTCTGCAGTGTGCATGAAAAAAAACGACTGTGAGGGTACGGCTGCAGGCTTGGCATTGGGGGTTAGGGATAAGAGATGCAGACCAATCAGTTCGGTTTCGGCTTCAGTGCCCATGTCATGGCATACACATCATTTCCTGTTGAGGTTTACGAGCTAGGGTTTGTAGGGCAGAGCACTAGCAATGTGGAAGTCAGTGTTCAGGCGATTGCACAAGTCCTGATGCAAAAAGGGGCAGAGCACCACAGGCCCGCCTGCTCCAACTCCGGGCATCGGCTGTCGCAAGCAGATTGGTCGGACCTGCCCAGACAAAACAAACTGTCACAGTCAAGCAGTTATGTCCTGCATTCACAGCAGTGCACTGCACACAAGCCGCAGCGACATGGACCCTACTACTACTGCTGCTGGAGTCTCGGAAAGCATTGCTTTTGCACCCACCAGCCCCGGGTCATCTTGTGTTCATAGATGGCACTGTATCTTTGAGCAGTGAACCGAGCGGATGCAGGACAATCAAAAGCCTGGGGCACCATCAAACATCCTTAAATCCTGCTCTGCCAGGTGCTTGTGTGTTCTTTTGCATCCTCCGAATCATGACAAATCTTAACTCTCAACCAAGCTGCACCGACCCCTGCCCGGCCTGGAATTTCTTGGATGTCATAGCACTGCTGAAGAAGTAGTCAAGTGCTTCCGTCCAGGCTTCCTGCATCACGGCTGAATTAGACAAATGCCCCAGTCGCACAGTAGTACATCCTTAGACTCCGGTCCAATGCCATCTATAGCCGCCTATATACCAAATCCATACATTTGAAAGGCTAATACCGTTCTATGTAGCAAGACTCAGATTGCAACCGGTTGGGTTCTGTAGTTTTCTCAGACAACCATGAATTGAGATGATTCTTAGTTGCAGGTTTCTGCCACAAAAAAACGATTGCAACCAGTTGCGTTCTGTAACTTGTGGCAAAACCATCAATTCAGATGACTTGAATACAGGTTTGTGTGCCAAAACACGTAGTCGCAGTAACAGTTGAGAGATCTAGGGCCGTTGAGGTCCTCGGGTTTAGAGGTCATGGTTAAGGGTTTGGGGCTACTGTATCATGTGACATCAGGCATGTCATGTCATGCCATGTCATGTTCTGGAACCCTAAACCCAAAACCCTAAACCGTGGCACATAATGCATGACATGCCATGTCCTGTTCTGGTTTACGGGTTTAGGGGTTGCATCATACATGGTTTAGGGCTGGTGAGTCATGTCACATCAGGCATGTCATGTCAGGTTTTGTTTTAGGGGCTTAGGGTGACATAATGCATAACATGCCATGCCATGTTGTGGTTTAGGGGTGTAGGGGTCGCACCACACATGTCATCCCATACCATGTTATGTTTTATTGGTTTAGGGGTCGCATCATGCATGCCATCCCAAGGCATGTTCTGGTTAAGGGATCACATCAGGCCTGTCACAACACTCAGTCAAGTGCCCTTCGGTTTAATAGTGATGCAACCCTTTATGTAGGCCTGTGCTGTGACACTTTTACTCCAGCAGCTCGTCTGCTTCATCGTCCTCAGGCCCTGGGGGCAAGTTGCCTCCTCCATCTGCCTGCACATGTATCGGCCGGTACTCTTCTGGTGCTAGTGGAGCCCTTGCAGCTGCAGGAGCAAGAGCATCAAACGCATGCCTTGTCAGGGCAGTTTAAGCCGCAAACCCACACTCAATTCACAGCTCATCTGCATGCTGCAGCAAACTCTTGATTTACAAAATGAACAGGAATGACTCAAATCCCTTCTTGAGATGGCCTGTTGTGGTTCAAGAACTCATACTGGGCAGGTCGCGGGTGTCGTCTCAAAGTGCCCTTGGCCCAGCCGACCAAGAAATCACGAGCAGCATCCTTGGCTTCCCGAAGAACTTGGCAGACCAGTGCCAGAAGCAAAGAAAATCAATTACTTAGAGTTTACAGCACAGCGGCATTGATGCACCCTTCTCGGTGAGCCTGCAATGCTTTCGCAACCACTTTGTCCCGGTCCTTCACAGCTTTTCGCGGGTAAACACCTGACGGCTGCCTTGACAATCTGGCTCGCAGCGCCGGAACCTCTGTCCCAGGTACCAGAAGACAGACTTGAAAATGCCTCCGTGAAGCCATTCGCTGGCGCACCACACAAACTACATCATCAGGATGGGACGGTGGGGCACCTGGCCATGTTGTCACAGGCACTTGCAGGTAGCCGAGATCTTTCAAGGTCGTGATCTCGAACCTTGCTTCCGACACTTTCGGGTTTAGGGTCTGCTGGTCCGGTTCAACAAATTGTTCCAGCAGAAAAGAGGTTCCATGCAGCTCGAGTAGCGAATGGGGGGCCTTCGGGCCTGTCAGGTTGGAGAAGACCAAACCGACCTCCTCCCACCAGCTCTGCCAGTTGGCTTGCTCATCGCCTTGCGATCAAACCATTCATTCATGGCTGCTACTTCACCTGAGGACACAAAACAGATCCAAAAATCCTCTGAGTTAAGCTGCCGAGTTGCCCTTCCAGGCACCTCTGAAGCTTGCTCCCCCATCCACAGTAGACTGCTGCAAGAAGCCATCGTAGATCTCCACCAAACTGTCAGCATCGGAGAACTCGCAGGCGCTGCACTTTGTGACAGCCTGGCCTCCGAGCCCGTCAAGTGGCCCGTGAGTGTGCCCCTTGCTCGGGTATTGCAGGCTTATCCTTTCGCAGACCTGCAATATGTGGAGCTTGACACACCAGGAAAGGAGGAGACCGTTCTTGCAGTCCCGACTGCAGTTGTCCTGTACGATGCAGATGTGGACAGGAAGTGCTCGATTGCAGTTGTTGTAGACTTTGTCGAGAAGCCGAGAAATCCCCTCCACATTGGAATTTGTATTCTTGTACACATCTGCATCCTTGATCTCGAACCCCAGCGCATGGCCCTGGGCCCAAAGCATGAGCACTGACAAGCTTGGACGCAGCAGGGCTTCAAACCCATGTGTCTTTGTCATAGACCTTGGGCACTTGTGCTTTGCCTGGTCCAGGCCGTCGGCCCTGATCAAGACTACACTCAGGGACCGCTGGATGTCCCGGAGTCGGACCCCCATTCCTTTCTTGCAAAGCTGGGCACGAAAGCCGAAGTGTGCTTAGTGTTGTACACAAAAAAGCAGCAACCCATGCATGGCAAGACGAGGAACTCAAACTTGTTCGTAGCTGAACACTAAGAGCTGCCCATCGCAGATCAGCCTCCCGATCCTGCCATTGTAGCATGAGGTGCCTGATGTAATCATCCAGGGTCCTTGGTCAGGACCGAAGTTACTCGTCACATTTTGGGACTTGGGTTCTCATGTCTGTTTTGGGCTGCCCAGCCGCTGTTGCCTCTCAGCCGGACTGAGATGCTGCCGGAGCCTTTGCTTGAAGCTCCTGAGGTCGCTGGTCGATAGGCAGGACATGAACTGACACAGCAATAGGCAGGACATGAACCGAGCCAGCAGTGCAGCCCAGCAGCCAGCAAGTGTCACAGACCGCATGTTCACCAGCATTCTTTCTGAACTTCAACCACCCACGGCACTCTCGGACTGCTCGGCAGAATGTTGTGAACGACGGCACGGGGTGACTGTTTTCCCTTGCCCACTGCTGCAGCCAGAGGAACATCATCGATGGCCGCGCCACGCCCAGGTACCGTCTTGCACCTGCACCGACACCTGGACCGGTCAGCACCTTTTCAGGCGCTTCCAGTAAACAGCAGCACTGAAGCGAGCACGATGCCACTGCACGAGCTTCAGCATCTTCAGCAGCATCCACATCCGAGGAGGAGGACGACCCACTTCTCACTGCCGATTGCTGCTGCCTTCAGAACTGCAGCACATCGCCACACTCAAGCTTGATTACAAGCATGTCACATTACAAAAACAACAAACTGAAGCTGTTGGAAGGAGGGACGAATGCACTATTGTAGTCCTGTGGCTGCCAACAGGGCTTGTCTCGAATCTGAATTTGTCTGGCATGCCTTCAGCATCGAACTGGTACCGATGCCACAAAAAGAGCTTGCAAACCCGCAGCATGGGAGAGCTGGCCGGGTTCTTCGACCGAATGGAGTTTGCCTCACGGCGCCTGTCTGGCTGCCCTTGCAATACCTTGTGATCTCAGTGAAGTGGCCCAGCAACAAAGGAGTCAATGAAGCTAACAAACGTCTTGCATGTTGCAGTCCTGGCAACTCTGTGTACCCGAGATGCACCCACCTGGGCTCAGGGCTCGGACTATCAAGACATGTATCCCTAACCTGGGCAAAGCTAAGCAGGGAAACTCACACTCCAGATGAGCTGCACGAAGAAAGGCATATGCACTCTTCAGGCAAACTTTCAAGTCATCTGCAGGGACGATGCCTGCCAGTTGTACAGAGGGCCTCTTGGTAGCAATCCTTGTTTTGTAGTGCTTCCTCTTCTGGGGCTTCGAAGGCTTGCCGTCCTCGCTGGACTGCAGGTCCAACTCATCAGATTCGGGCTCAGAAGTTGATTCGCAAGCCTGATCTGCATGGCCGGGCTCAGAAGTACCTTCTGGATCACTGGTCACCTCATCTGGGCCGACATTTTGATGAGGTGCAGAGCTTGTGGAGGAGCTCCTTCTCCTTTTCTTCGCCACTCTGACAGCTGAGGAGGACTGCACCTCCCTCTCACGTTCATGAGGTGCAGGGCTGGTGGAGGAGCTCCTTCTCCTTCTCTTCGCCATTCTGACAGCCGAGGAGGACTGCACCTTCCTCTCACATTCATGAGGTGCAGGGCTGGTGGAGGAGCTCCTTCTCCTTCTCTTCGCCATTCTGACAGCCGAGGAGGACTGCAGCTTCCTCTTATTGCTCTGCTTCTCTTCGCGGTCTGATACCATTGCAGACCTGCTAAAAATCCAGAGGATGTCTCGGTCGGCTGCAGCCCGATCAAGCTGATGAAGCTGGGTCGAGTACTTTTGTAGCTCGTTCACATAAGGGGCCGCCTTCTCGTAGCAGCCTCAATGAGTGCAGGGTAGTTGCGGTGTGTGTGTGGGGCATGGAAAGCTTCACTTCTTATCATGCCGAGAAGGCTCTGTGCTTGCAATGTAAGCATTGCTTCTGCAGCTTCCGGCATGTCTGCAAAGATGCAGAGAACTTGTTTGCAAAACTCATCATGGCTACCGGTGTCTCCGATAGGACTCATGAGGAGTAAGTTCATGCTCCTAGCATTCTACTTTCCTTCGGCAAGTCCTGGTGGATTTATAGGGTTTAGGTCTTCGGGTTGAGGCTCGGGTAAGTGGTTTCTGTGGTGCCTCATCTTTTCACACTCGCAATTTTGGACCACTGTGGGGCTAAACGGGTTCATGGCTATCAGGCTCCTGCTGTGCACTGCTTGAGAAACGAAGCTGCACAGGCAGCAAGCAGTGGACATGCTCGTGAACAATCTCCATTCCTGCTTTCTTCAATCAAACAATGCTGCTCTCAAAGCAAGCTGTACGCACCTGGTCCAACTGAAGCATGCCGCCGCTGCAGCCTGTATCGAAAATGCACGTTCTGAGGAACATTAGTTCATTTGCCTAGTGCCTCTCGATTCCCTCTGACTGGTGATTCCGACAAGGTCTCTTCAGTTTTGCTTCACGAAGATGTGATCTGTAGACCCTTGATCCTGTGTAAGCTCTGCGTTTAGCATTCGGCACACTTGCGATTGCAATGGCTCTGCTTTTCCGGATTGAACAGCAACTCAAAGCAGCTGATTGGCTATTGCAGGATGTACACCAGAATGGAAACCAATACACTGGCAGCCACATTGGCTGTGAAACCATTGCCAGCGAGCTCTTGGGCCTGCTTGACTGTAAGATCTGTCAGGCGTGCCGCTTTGAGCTCACGGCTTGACAGGCCTTGCAGGCTCATCACAAACGTCGGAGACTTGTTCAGGTGCAGCCCATTCTCGTCCAAGTACAAAAACCGCTTCTGCGGAAGAAGGCATGGGTGGACTGTTCTCCATTTGTGTCGTTGCAAAGTGTCTCCACTGGGGACGACGAACCTGGGCCGCTGCTGCCAACTATATGTCAACTTCACCCAGCGATCAGCAACCGCTTCAAGCTGCCAAAATGAATGCAAGACACAGGAGAGACTGGTCGATGTCCTTGGTTTGTCACACCGGACCAGTCAAGGAGGTCATACATTGACACCGAATGGTTTACAACCTTTTGCAGAGCAAGATTCATGGCCCCATGTCTTGCGCAGCTTGGCAAAGGACAGATGGGTTGCTTCCAATTCTCTTTCTGGCAAATCCAGCTCCTGCAAGCCTTGTGCAAGCAGAAGGCCTTCAATCTGAGGTTCAAGAACCACCCGAATGCTGAGGCCGGAACACTGATGCACCCATCTGACCTGTGGAACTTGTAGATCCTTTTCTGTGATGTTGTGCTTCTCCTTGTAAGCTGCATGGTCTGCAGGCCATTTCTGAGAAGATGCTGCCCTGCCGGTTGCCATCTGTCGTTTCCGAAGTTCCTGCACACTAGCAAATTGGAACAGAAACATGTATCCCACACTGACTGCCCAAGCAATATGCTTGTTCAGCTAGGCTGCTTGCTTATCAGTAGCTCTCTGCCACAAATCCACCAAAGGCTCGTGCCATTGCACTTGACACCGTCTGACTAGTCGCCACGCTGACGAGAGCTTCTCTCCAGCTTTCTGCTCAGCCCCCGGAGCCTGGGATCTCAAGGTGGTCAATGAAAGAACAAACTGGCCTGTTTCATTGATTTGCATTCTGCAGGCCAAGTTGCCGCCAGGTCCAATTTCAAGCTGATTCCATAGACCCTGTTCCTGCTATGTGGCAAAGCAAAATGTTTCGAGTTGACCACCTCAAGGGCAGGCCACTGAAGCAAACATGAGCTGCAAGCCTCAACTTGTTGCACAAATGATTCTGGAAAAGCTGCCTGGAAGCTCGACACATACCCCTGCTTGCGCATGAGGTCCTTGATGACTTCTGTCCCCTTTTCATTCACAGTCTTCCTGTGAGCGTCCAAGTTTTTCACACATTCCCACATGATGCCAACTGGTCTCTGGGACCATTCCAAGCGTTGGATGAACTCAAGGAATTGAAGAAAGCTGCTTCCACTGTGCCCCTTAGCATCTAGAATGCTTTTCGGCGAAGAGGTCTGGCACGAGATATCATCGCACTCCACACCGACAATGGCCAGGGAAAGTGCTGGCATGGATTCTCTGGGCAATGCCTGCAGTTCGGATGTGGCCCCATACACCTTGGTAGGCCACTAACCATCTGACAATAATCATATCACCCTGCTCGTGATTGGTGAACTTTGCAAATCAACCAAGAGCCCTAAAGAGCATCCCACAGCCTGCCAAGATTCGGGAATGTTTTCCCACTCGTGCCCCTGTGCTGCCAACATATTCTGCAGCACATCGCGCTTCCACTTGACAAGCTCGGTGTAAAAACAAGGTTTTGTGATGACCGCTACATCATGATCCTGCTGCAAAACTTTGCGCACAATCTCCTCAGGTCAAGCTGCAACATACATCAAAGACGAAGAGCATCTGCAACTAAACACACAGCGACGATGCAAAACGAGCAACCAATGACTGGGAACCGGTGCCCATTCCAGCACAGAATTCTGCAAAATGTACTTGTCTGGATCTCAACTTCCGCAGCTCTGCTGTGGAGAGGACATTGCCGAGCATGTAGGTCACGAAATCAGTGCAGCATGAACTTCTGAAGCCGGGATTGGGCTGGCCAGTCTCTTCACAGTCTGAGCTTGACTGAAGTGCAGCAGCCTTTCGTTTCTTCTTGCGCCTCTCTGCCCAATCCTTCTCTGCTTTCTCAATGCGAATGGTTTCTGGGCTATCCTCAGGTTCTGTTGTTACTTCTGAGGCTGCTTCGTCTCCGGTAAGCTGTGTGTGTCCTGACTGGTACAGCAGGTATGCCACTGTAAGGCTGCAACATGACGACATGCAAGTCCTGGCTGGATCTTGGAACTTGATGCTCTGGACCTCCTTTGTCCTGGTGGCTCGCATCTGAGACACTGTCAGAGCTCTGGTGGCCGGCCAAAGCTCAGCTGGAGTCCTTTGGCCCTTGAAGGAGTCTCTTGCACTGCAGGCTCTGAGGTTGATTCATCGGACATGGCGATTCCCGGTGCAGAGGCAGGCTTTCACGGCTCTCGGGAAATTCTCTGATGTCTTGGATCTAGGGAACCGACAGAGCTACGTGCTTATGAAGCTCCTGCCATGAGCTGCTTGAGCAACCTGAAGCATGACACTGCAGCTGTAGTCGGAACTGCATGCGATTTGAACATACGGATAATTTGCCGCACTCAGAACCGTGATAGCTCAAAGCCATGCCCGACACAACCCCAAGGCATGATCGAAGCGGGTCCGGCCTCCTCCCAGAAATCATCAGTGGCGTCAAGCAGTGGCAAGCAGCCCCAACTTGCCCTCATCGGAAGAAATGCAAGCACTGCAATGCATGTGATGTTTCAAAACATTCACGCCGCATCTAAAAGAAACCTTGGCAAGGTAAGCTACCGGCACTTCCGAAGCAGAGCACCTGGCAGGATAAAAGCAAGACGACAGACAGTCATGTGTGCACTCGATCAAATGCAGCCTTGCCATGCACGCAGATTACGAAAGGTTCTTCAAAGCTCCACATGGATCTCTCTACAGCACTCAAACACATCTTGTAAACCTGGACGATGCAAACAGCTTTTTGCCTGTAAAGATCTGCTCGGGTTCTGCCCAGTGTCTGTTGCAAGCCCCCTGCCCCCTGCCCTGATGAGCTGACCCCTACCTACATGCATGCTGTAAGAGAGCTGGGGTTCTGCAGCACTGGTGGCCTCTGCTGAGTGGTGACCACTGTCTTAAATCGTCCTGTGTCAAAATGGACTGTGTGTCAAAATTGCCTGCTGCGGAGCTGCAGAGAAAGAAGCCTTGCCAGGCTAAACACATAGGTAAAGTCACAGAGACTAAGCTTTTGCTCATATCACTGGGCTTGAACTGACCCAAGCCACAGCCATGACTTCATACAGCTCGGGAGGTCCGAACAGCTTCAAGAAGTCAGTCCATGGGTAGGCTCTGGACTAGCCTGTTCGGGAGGCCTAAGATATGTCAGAATCTCAATGTGAAGCTCTGGAGTTGTCCATAGAACCTGCTCATGAGCTTTCTTCTGCAAGCTTGATGTACTTGCCATTCTGCAAGCGCACCGACTGATCCAAAATCATCATCGGCTTTTTTGCCGTCAGCTTGGTGTGCACCGGATCAAAAGAGAACTTCCAGGCCCAAACAACATTGGAGCTCAGGCGGCACCCCTTCAGGACGAGCTCTCTGGCCTGGGCACACAACAGGAAGAGAAACAGGACTGAAGCAGCATTCCACAGAGTCATGTGAAAAAACCCCACTGCCAGTGCAACAACGGAACCATGTTCCCGGGAGTGAGCTTCTTCTCGTCCTTGTCGCGAAGGATGTAGTACCAGTCATCGGATTTGGTAAGTGCAAATCCGTGCGTCCCACCAGATCCGGCCGCCTTGGTCCCGATCTTGTAGCCCGTGCAGGACAACTCCTTGCTGGCACCACTCTTGTGCAGCTCTTTGACCACCTGGTACAGGCTGGAACGGTGCTCCGTGCCTCGCTTGACCCCCTCCTCGCCGTCCTCCACACCATGGGACACATCCACCCATGTCTTGTCCCCCTGCGGCATCTCCAGCTGAATGCAAGGGGTGGCCTTCTGCTGGCTCATGCGGCCGCCGCCCACTCCAGCGACGCGGAAGCCTCGAGGCAGGTTCACATCCAAGGTCGCCTTCAGATAGTAGCACTTGTCCTTCTTGACAATCATCACCTTGGCAATGTCGAAGCTCTTCACCTCCAGCTCTGGCCCCTCAAGCGGGGCTGACAGCACCTCGAACTTCGCTGCCGGGTCTGCTGGGGCTCCACCTGGGTGGTTATCAAAATTAGGGTCCCTTTTTTGGGCACCTTAAATAATAGGTGCCGTACTATATTAGGGACCCAAAAAGAGACCCTAATTTGGACAAAGGTGCCACCTCCAACATCAGCCCCATCCGTCGGCCGTGGGTCCTCACCTGTCGCCTCCTCCCCATTTGGGGTCACTGTGACCTCGAAGCAGCTGAGAGCATTGGCCCAAAGCTGCTGATGCTCCTCCTCAAGCATCTTGATCTCCTTTGGACACAGTGACACCGAGTACTTTGCTGGCAGGATGCCCTAAAGTGCAGCAAAGTGTCGCCCCGGACACTTGGAGGGCTTGTCTGGAACTCTGCCACCTTGACGGGGTCCAGAACTGTCAGGTGGCCACGCAGAACCTCAGCTCTCTCTCTCTCTCTCTCTCTTTCTTCCTCTCTTGCTTGCTTGCTTGGGGTATGAGAACATGCTCTCTCTCTCTCCCTCTCTCTGTTTGTCTGTCTCTCTCTCTCTCTCTCTCTCTCTCTCTCTCTCTCTCTCTCTCTCTCTCTCTCTCTCTCTCTCTCTCTCTCTCGCTCTCTCTCTCTCTTGGTTGCAGGTCAGGAAGCCAGGACTCGGAGAGAGGGGCCGAGCTTTCCGAGCCCCTGATACGCTTCGAACACGCCCGGCGTCTGCTTCAAAGCTTGGAGGTCCTGCTCGGAGAGCGACTCACTGCCTTCTGGCACCGCGAGTGTGATGCCGCTGGCCGTTTCCTCCCAGAGTTCCAGTTGCTTGGCCAGCCATCTCGCACCTAAGTACTGCGAAAGGCGCTTGACGCCGAATCGCGTCCCTGGCCCGTTCGCATATTCGAGGTTCCAGACTCGCAGGCGGCACGGCAGGCTGCCTGCCGCCCTCATCCGGCAGCATGCGATGGCGAGGTCCGCCGCATACATGTGGCAATCCAAGATGTCGACCAAGTCTTCCTTCTTGAGGAACTGCTCTTCATGGCCTTGCAAAGTTGGGGAACAAAGATAAAACCAGACACAAAGCTCACAGTGGTAAAGCCACATGTTTGAGTCTAGTTGCTTGCCCGGCTGAAGAGCTGGGTGAGCAGGCTCTCATAGACCTGTGCGCCTCTCTGGCTGGAGCGAGTGGAGGCCAAGTTCCTGAACCTCACAGGGTCTGTCTCGGACCCTGCCGCATTGTGCACCACGTGCACAAGCTCGGAGGTGCTCGGGCAGGCTGCACAGGGTGCCTTGCCAGTTCTCACCTCGAATTTTCACCACAAAGTGTGCATCTAGCTTGAACTTTGTTGAGAAGCCACTGCCGGAAACTTTTGCACAGCTGAGCTGCAAGAGCACTCTTGCCCCACAGATTGTTCTCCAAAGCTTGCTTCACGGTAGGAGCATGCAAGAAGAGGCGATGGGTCGCAAAGGCATCCGAAGACAAGATGTCATGTCCTTCCGTAGTCAGCTCCTGATGAACGTTTCAATGCTGAGGCACACACACACACAAAACACATGCTTCGAGGTGCCTGGGAGGCAGTGATGCTGATGAAGCCCTCCACCTTCATTTTCTGGACGATGTTCCATTCATCTTCGATCGGCTCCTGGACCGAGTCTTCCTTGGGCCTCAGAACTGGAGTCGCAAATGTGCTTCAGGAGATTTGCCTCATATGGTCGGGCACCTGGTTGGCATCGTCACCAGGACCATTTCCCGGTTCTCACCCCGGGATTTTGCCAGATGGCCAGCAAAGGCTGGGTACCTTGCTCGTCAACACATGTTTGAAGCAAGCCGAGCAAGGGAGAACGGACTTCTCTTCGATCTTATTGCAGCATGGAAACTTCTCCATGATCAATGCATTGCGCGCCTGGGTGTTCATCATTCCACTCAAGCTCGAGGGCTGCATCAGGCTATGCACCGGCCACTGTAACAGTATCTTTCTCCTTCTGTTTCTCTCTCTCTCTCTCTCTCTCTCTCTCTCTCTCTCTCTCTCTCTCTCTCTCTCTCTCTCTCTCTCTCTCTCTCTCTCTCTCTCTCTCTCTGTGCCCGGGCTTGGTTCACTGGAACAAGCTTCGGACAAGATACATTGGGAACATTCAGGTCAATCCGCAGGAGTGTCAGGTGCTGGAACTTCGTGTCATCAGAGACAAAGGCAGACCCACTTGGCGGAGGCGGACACAGGGGCACTTTGCTCACCTGAGCATCACTGTGTATTTCCAAACTCAAGCTAACTTCCCAGCAGCCAAGGAAAGATTCCTGCAGACATGTCACAGCATCATGCTTCATGTACCATGCTGCAGCATCTCCCAAAGACTTGCACTCCAAAACAGGGTGGTACCAGGCCAAGTATTGGGACACCAGACTTGTCGCCTTGTCGATCTCGGCTGCCCGCTTCGTGTGTCTGGCCCAGTCCAGGCGGTCTGCCAGGATCCGGTGGCCCGCTGCCACACTTGTGACCATTTTTTGGTCGGCCTTTAACTGGCAGCGGAACAGGTCAAGCTTGGACTGCCAGTTGCTCAGCTCCTGTTCCTCCAGTGCTTTCTGCTCCACATTGGCATGGCAATCGTCATCAGCGGACCGGAGGTCAGGGATCATGGCCTTGTGGAAGAGTGGCGGGAAGGTGGAGGCCATCTGTTTCACCTTTGCTCGGAAGATGCTTTTGGCAAGATTCTGAGACACACAGGCGAAGATCAAGTTTACAGTATCAGTTTGCTTCTGCATCGAAAGATAGGACTCTTTGGCCCATTGAAAGAGATTTGACATGCAGACTTTTTTGATCTGTCCCCATCAGCCCGAACATGCTAATTGCCGACCGGATGCAGCAGGGTCCAGAGCTGTGCCTCGTAGAATCGCCTCCTGCACTTCCTTGAAATCGTCTGCTGTGAGGTCCTTTGGCCGCAGTTTCATGAAAGCTGCAACTAGATACTGAACGACTTTGATGCCAGGAAATACAAGTGCTCTGCAGGGTCCTTTTTGCAAACCTCTTGCATGCAGCGGAACCAGCAGCAAATGACCGTCCGGAATCGCTCGAGCTTGGGCACATCCGCACGGTATCTCGGTGCGTATATGTTATCATGTTCTGCAAGCAAGATGCAGCACATTGCACTTTCACAACATGCAAGCACTCAGCTCATGTCAGGACACTGCGCTCGGGACTGTGTCACATCCAGTCTTGCTGTATCATTCTCAAAGCTGTTCACGATCTTCTCGAGCAGACTCTCAAACTCGTCCGTTGTCAGCGGACTCGTGAAGTCTGTCAGTGCTGAGGCAGCCTTGGAGGGAACCATCCGCAGAGCCAAGTCTGTTGCCTTGCAAAACGGGATGGCTCACAAAGGCTCACAAAATCCAGAAAGCAACCTATTCAAGTGCTTCGCCTCATGTGCAGCCAGCACTTGCACTTCGGTGGGCACACAGCTTTGCGGGGGCTGGCTGGCCGGATACAAGTGTGTCCAGGACAACAAGGCATCGCTGAAAGCAGCATTCGCCGCCGAGTATGTCCAGGCCATGTGGTGTGTGCAAGTTTCCCAGGCCCGCCGGGTGAAGTGCTGCAAGACACACTTGATGGCAGTCTGCCTTTGGGTGCCGATTTTGATACTGCTCTGGTCAAGCTCGGCAGCAGGTTCAGCAGAATGCTTGGTCTGGCGGCTGGCCCGCTTCCGCTTCTTCACATTCGTGGGCTGCTTCTCGACCCCATCCACACTGACACGATCATTGTAGCCACTCAGGATCCGGTGGAAGGCCTCCAGCCAGTGTGTCCGGCTTGTCGTGGCAGTCTCGAAGAGTTCCGCTTCATTGCAGCCGGCCTTGCTGCATGGCTATGGCTGAAAGACAACATGGGCTTCATAATCATACAAGTCACTGGGTGACAGGAGAGCAGGACCACACTGACCCATTGAAAGACCGTGAGGGGCTGGATCATGGCCCCTCTCGTGTTCTGTCTGTAGCAGGCAGAGATCAGCTTCTGCTCGTGTGTCTCGTCGGAGGCCGAATCCCAGCCTGTAGCATGTGTCAGGAACCCATGGAAATCAGATACAGCAAACATGACTCCTCATTTTCGGCTGGCCACAGGTCGGCAAACCAAGAAGAAGTCCACAGAGCTCCTTGGCAGCGTTGCTGTCGTAGCCAGGCACGGCCTTCTCGACCATTCTCGCAAGCAGGTCCCACCTTAATTTCCGCCAGACAATTGTGCAGGGACTGGGTTTCAGGCACAACCTCCAGCAACATCTGGCATGCATCCATAATGATGGCTGCAACTCTATATAGGCCATTCTTCAACATAGGCCCCAAACGCTCGGCCACTGCCAGTGGCCGAGCATCTGGGGCCCTCTTGGCCAACTATGTTGGTGCAAACTTCATATGGAGACTTTGTGCTATACCCTCCCAAACGCTCGGCCACTGGCAGTGGCCGAGCAAATCGGGGCTATGTTCAAAGATGGCCTATATAGAGTTGCAGCCATCATTACAGATCGGACCTATGTTGCCCAACCCTCCCAAACGCTCGGCCACTGAGAGTGGCCGAGCATCTCGGGCCTCTGGGGCCCAACCCTCCCAAACGCTCGGCCACCCCAGATCCCGGAAGCGCGGCCACTGAGAGTGGCCGAGCATCTTGGGCCTCTGGGGCCCAACCCTCCCAAACGCTCGGCCACCCCAGATCCCGGAAGCGCGGCCACTGAGAGTGGCCGAGCATCTCGGGCCTCTGGGGCCCAACCCTCCCAAACGCTCGGCCACCCCAGATCCCGGAAGCGCGGCCACTGAGAGTTGCCGAGCATCTCGGGCCTCTGGGGCCCAACCCTCCCAAACGCTCGGCCACCCCAGATCCCGGAAGCGCGGCCACTGAGAGTGGCCGAGCATCTGGGTTCCCTGTCCCTACTAATCCAAGACTACGCCATCCGAGGCCCAAATCCCAGATGAGCGGCACGACCCCAATCCTGCATGCGCGGTCACCCCAAATCCTGCATGCGCGGCCACCCCAAATCCTGAGCGCGCGGTCACCCCAAATCCTGCACGCGCGGTCACCCCAAATCCTGCACGCGCGGCCACCCCAAATCCTGCACGCGCGGCCACCCCAAACCTGCACACGCAGCCACTGAGGGTTGCCGAGCATCTGGGTTCCCTGTCCCTACCAATCCAAGAGGACACCATCCGAGGCCCAAATCCCAGATGTGCGGCACGACCCCAACGGTCACCCCAAATCCCACACACACGCTCGCCTAACTCTCACAGCAGTCATGCTCAGTCACCCGAGTAGTTCTTGCCCAGGCACAGCCACATGGCAGCCATTCCCCGCTTCACACCGTCGGAGAACAGCAGGGATCTGGCAGCTGTCACTGCAGGCTTCTCACGCACGGAGAGCTGCTCACCTGCCATCCACCCACTGTTGACGATGCTGCGAGCCTCAGCTTCAGCTTCTAGTCAATACCAGCAAGAACAGCAACACAACCTTTAGTATGGCAAGTGGCAATGCCACAGATCTTCCACGCCTCGGGCTCGCCTGCCCAACAGCTGGCCTTGTCGAACCGCCAGTTCAGAACCGTTGTGGTCCTGAACAGAAGATAGATGTGTTATTGTTAGACTGTGCGCTGCTGCTGCTTGCATCCGAGATTCGTCCCTTCTGCACGCAGAAGTACAGAAGCCACACAAGGGTGACCAAACACAGCCCCGGAGACACGCTCCAGCTCGGCTGCAGCATCCGGGGAGCGGCAGTGCAAGCCATCGATGTAATCCCTCAAGGATGCCTTGCTCTGGCCAAGCTCCTTGGCTGAAGTTGCAGCTTCAGCTTTCACACTTTGGTCTTCTATCCCTCGAAACTCTACTGCAGGCCAGACTCGTTCTGCACCTGGTCTATCTCTGCCAGCATCCACTGCTTCAAGAGTGCAGAACTTGTGTCGGCCATGGCTCCGGAAATTGCTGCCAATGCAGTCCAAGCCCAAAAATCTTCGAGGAAAGCAAAGCATCACACACTTCATATCTCTGACAGCATCCACTGATTTAACAGTGCACAATTTGTGTCGGCCACAGCTCCTATCTCTGACAGCATCCACTGATATAACAGTGCACAATATGTGTCGACCGCAGCTCCCAAAAGGGAGGCTTACACTCCAAGCCGAAAGAATCTTCGAGGAAACCAAAGCATCACACAATTCAAGTATTGACAAAAGGCACATGCCTCATGAAGTCAGCAAAGCAAACTGTGTGCACTCACAGACTGCAGGCTTTGATAAACATGGCGGTCTTGCTGAGCCACCGATGGGTGCCCACGGGCAGTCTGACCTCGGAGACCGGAAAACTTGGACAGATCACAAGTAGCTCAACCTGGGTACATTGCAAGATCTCTGCAGAAAGGCCTCTTGTCTCTGCTGCTCGTCTGGCACGATAGATGTGAGGGCTCTACAGTCCACTCACCCCTTGTGCATGCATGTGGCCCTGGAAGTGCACAACGTCCGTTGTCGAGCAGGTGTCTAAGGTCCAACTAGACGGCCTATAATTCGGATACTCGGCTTCAGGACCCATGCATTTTCTATACAAGAGGTGAGAGCTGCACAGTCCACTCCCCTGTGTACACCGAGGTGGCCCTGGGCCGACAGTGCACAACACCCCTTGCTGAGCTCAGCTTCGGTTGAAGCTTTGGGGTTTAAAATCCAAGCAGATGATCCTTGGGCTGCAAAGTTCCCCGATAATTTGGATTGTCATCTGCATCCTCTGCTGTGCTCAGCAAACCTACAAGCCACATCAAAGCATTGTGGCACACTTCAGAGCTCTCGGAAATCACTCTGTGCCCAGCCTCACTGCCTCAGCCCATGCCTTGCGCAAGTTCTGGAACCTACCCCAGCCAAGATGGATCGCTCCGCTGGAGTTCGTCTTAACCTGCCCAAAACATCAGGACTGCAATGAACGGTGCTTAGTGGCTTCATGTTGCTTTGGTTTTGCTGCCTGCCTTGCCCTTGTGACATTTCGCCAGGCTGGTCACATAGAACGCTTTCTTGGAAAAGAGCACCTGTATTGGAGCACACTTCGGCAGATAGACTGTCCAGGACCTGAGGAAACCAATGTCAACAAAGGTTCAGATTTTCGGGTTTACCACTTAGTGCAAGTAGGCTTTACGCAGTTTGCGATTTAAGCTTTGGGGCCAAAGATGCCGAGCGTCTTTGACTTCTGCTCTGCAATGTAGTCTGGCACAGGGAGGAAAGTGCGCAACTCGGCCAGGGCAGCCTCGAGGTCAGCAGGCAAGGGTGGCAGAGGCTTCTTCTCCATCTGCTCAGAATCTGCTGCTTCCTGCTGCTCAAGAGGATCTGCTGAAGGCAACTTCCGATGCTTCTCCTGCTTCTCCCCATCAAGCTTCTTCTGAGGCTCGCAAATGACTCCTCCCGGCTGCTCCAACGGAACTGCTGCAGGCAACTTCTGGCACTTGTCCCCATCAGGCTGAGCCTGAGACTGCTCAGAATCTGTTGCCTGCTGCTCCAGAGACTCTGCTGAAGGCAACTTGCGAAGCTTCTCCTCATCAAGCTGAATCTCAGGCTGCTGAGACTCTCCTTCCTCCTGGTCCAGAGACTCTGCTGAAGGCAACTTCTGAGGCTGCTCCTCATCAAGCTGAGTCTGCTGAGGCTGCTGAAACCCTCCTGCCTGTTGCTCCAGAGGATCTGCTGGCATCAACTTGCAAGGCTTCTCCTCATCAAGCTGAGTCTGCTGAGGCTGCTGAGACTCTCCTTCCTGTTGCTTCAGAGGATCTGCTGAAGGCAACTTCCAAGGCTTCTCCTCATCAAGCTGAGGCTGCTGAGACTCTCCTGCCTGTTGCTCCAGAGGATCTGCTGGCGGCAACTTGCGAGGCTTCTCCTCATCAGCGGCCGTGACACAGCTTGTGTCCTTGGTCGCAAAGACCTTCACAGAGTCAGCAGTGCCAAAGGCCGACGACGGATAAAGCGGCCGGGCCACAGGGGCCGACGAGAAAGGGCCAAGTCCATTCTCCGCACCTGCCCAAGTCGAATGGAGGCTGGGTCCTGTCATCCAGTCTCCAGCCATGCCAGGGGATGCTGCATCCAGCTCCATGTGGCTCCCGGCCTCTTGCAATTCAACACCATCAGACTTCTTCTGCTTTTTTTCTGGAGTGCAGGAATACTCCGAGGAAGGAGTCGAAGGCATCTGCATTGTGAACCTTATCTGTCGCGAAGCTTGCTGCGGGGACGATGCCTTCCTTTTGCCGCTCATGAAGGCCTCCATCACGCCTTCCGCAATCATGATTGCAAAATGCAAACACTTGGAAGCCGTCCAAAATGGGTCTCACTTGAGCAAAACACTACCCAGACCATATCAGCTCAACATGCAATAGTGTTTTTGAAGAGCTCAGCGCGGATGCTGCACTCGAAGAAGATAGACTGCTGAAGATCAGAAATGCGAGGCCCCGGCCAAGACTGTTTTGACATGGGTCCGGAACTCGACACGTTCCTTTGGTCAAATTTAATCTCCAAGCAAAGCCATGCACTTCGAGAAGACACAACTATCCTAAACCCTTAAACCGGAATCCCTAAACCACAAGTGGAACATGGCCTGACATGACATGGCAACCCTAGACAGGTAGACCCACACCCTAAACCCGGGGGTTTGGGGTTTAGGGTTTATGGTTTTGTGGTTTCAAGGGCTCGGGGTATCGGGTTTAGGGTCTTGAGGGTTTGGGGGTTAGGGGTTTAGGATGGTTTAGGGTTTCGGGGTTAGGCAATGGGTTTAGAATAAGGGCACTCGTTTTGATTGTGTTCTTTAAGCCAGAAAGGTGGGGTCCCAAAAAAGGGGATAAGGGTACCAGAGCACTTCTCAGAACATGTTCGAACCCAAGCAGCACTCAAAATCCTCAATTGCTTTTGCACTTCTATAACTAAATCCCGAGACCGGCTGGAGCATTTTAGGGATTACAGTAGAGTTCAGGGTTCAGGATTTACACCCAAATCCCATGGCATGATATGTGTAATGCACATCCTAAACCCCGAAACGCTAAACCGAAACATGACATGACGTGCAGACACACATGATCTAAACCCAAAACCCACAAAAGTCCGACCAGAAGCCCTAAAGCACTAGAACCTAACATGCCATGCTGTGCATGCACATCCGAGACCCCTAAAGCCTAAACCGAAACACCCAAACCCCTAAACCCTAAACCCAAACATGGCATGGTGTGCACACACATGATCTACGCCCTAAACCTACAAGAACGCGACCAGAAGACCTAAATCCCTAAACCCCAACAAACATGATATGACATGCATGCAACCATGTCGAGGAGCCTGGAGGCCACACCAGGACATCCTAGGCCGGACTTCCGGAGTGCTGCTACTACATCCTCCGGTCCAAGGATGTGGTTATGAAAAGCCAGGGGGAGCCTGGGGCTTCATTATATTGCACTTGTCTGGGTATGTTTCAGCAAAACAGCAGTGCGGCATGCCCGTTCAATTCAGGCTCAAGAATACACAGCCGCTCTGTGTGCTGCCATGAAGCCGTCATCGAAGCAGAAGGCAGAAGCAAATGCAGCCTCTGCACAGTCCTCGGAAAAGCTTGGGAATCATGACAACAAGGATCCAGACGACCGGCCTGTTGCAGTAAAGAGGGAGCTGCCGGAGGAGGATGATGAGCAGGGCGAGAGTTCGGAGCACGAGGTGTCCAATATGAAACGAAGGGTCATGGAGATTCTAGGGAAGGACAAAATCCAGTCCAGCTCAAAAGTGCAGGCCAAATCACATGCCAGATCTCCTTCGCGCAAAATTCAGCGCAGTGCATCGGATGCATCAACACTGGTCCTCGGCTCTAGAAGGGACGAGGACTGCAGCATCAGCAGTGAATCGTCTGTCGAGGACGACAAGTAGTGCACAGAACCCCAACCGCAGACCCTTCGAGCAAGAAAAAGCCAACATTCGGATCTGCTTGGGCTTTTCGCTGGCTTCGTCCATGACCTGACAACTGTAAACCTGTACCCTTTACAAATCAGCCCAAAGCTCAGGATGACATCCGAGATCGATTGAAGCGCCTTGGCTGCAAAGTGAGTGGGATTGCACAAGTAGCACCGACAGTGTCTGTCTGTCCTCTCCCTCCCTCTTCCCCTGCCCTAAACCCCTACACCCTAAACCGGAACATGGCATGATGTGCCCACACATGATGCCCTAATCCTTACCTTCTGTTGCACTTCTATAACTAAATCCCGAGGCCGGCTGGAGGGGTTCAGCATTTACACCCAAATCCCATGACATTTTGTGCATGATGTACATCCTAAACCCCTAAACCCTAAACCGAAACATGGCATGATGTGCAGACACACATGATCTAAACCCAAAACCCACAAAAGTCCGACCATAAGCCCTAAAGCACTAGACCCCAACATGCCATGCTCTGCGTGCACATCCTAAACCCTGAAAAACCTAATCCGAAACATGGCATGATGTGCATGCACATCCCAAACCCCTAAACCCAAACATGGCACGATGTGCATGCACATGATCTACACCTAAAAGTCACACAAACTCACCAGAAGACCTAAATCCTTAAACCCCAGCATGGCATGACATGCATGCAACCATGTCATGGCATGACATGCATGCAACCATGTCAAGTCATGCTCTGCTCGGTGGCCTGGTCATCTTGCCTTCGGTCAAGTTGTGTTGAAATCAAACCATGTGTGAAATCAGGGCTTGTTCACCGAGTGCCTGGCTGGAGTGACATGTCCTGTACCTCTTTGGAAGGCAACTCGGAAGTAGTAGCAGCATGGGCTCAAAGGCACGCAAAATGGCACACAGGGGCTACCTTTTCCCTCGCACAACTCAGAAGCTGGAGCTTCACTTGCTGCTGGCTGACTCCTGCAGAACAAGACTCAAGGGAAGTGATCTGATTTTGTGGAAGATCGAAACTTCAGGCCTTCGACTTCGCTCCATCTTGAAGCAAAGAGCATGAGCTCGAAGTGCTAGAGCTCGAGCTCGACTTCTGCAAAGTGCCACTCGGCTGGATGGATGGCTGCATATCAGCAAGATGTACAACTGAAGCCTTGGACTTCTTGGCAGCACTGCCCGCCGAACCAGCTGCCTAGGTGGAGGCAGCAATTGCAGACTGCACACATGCTGTGTCTATGAAGGCGAGGAGCAGCCCTGGCACGTTTCCGGAGCTGTTGCTGGCGCTTCTCCTCGAGTTTTCGTCAGTCGCCTCTTTGTGAAAATAAGATGTCGGCTAGCTCCCTACCACCCTCCGGTAGAAGATCTATGAAGCCGAGCAGCCTCAGCCTGCTGTTCCTTCAAGATCCGTTTTTTTTTGGCTGCCTCGTCTCTTGACTTATGCACATGGTTCGAAGCTTTGCAAACATGCCTGAAATATGAAGCTGAGCAGCTTCAGCAACGGCGACCGCCGTCGCATGCTCCGCTCGCTCTTTCACAGCAGGCATCTCTGAAATGAGCTTCTCCCTGTGCCACCTGCTGAGCAAGGCAAAGGCAGCATCCCCAGTCTGGTCGTGGTCGTCCTGGATGAAGATCGCCGTTATCAGCTTCTGCAGCTCAGCCATCCCCTTGACTGCCAGCATCTCGAAGCAGTGCTTGGGGACTACATTTAGCACAGCAAGCGCAGCACTTCTGCTGCCACTGCGCTGTCCTGGGTTGCAATGAGATGCAAATGTGAGGAAACCTCCTGGGAGTATGAACTTTCTGCAGCCATGTGTCGTATCCACTTGACCAAGAGCTTGAGGCCTCCACGAAGCACGAAGGCCTCCAGCACGCTTCCGTGGGATCGCATCAAGTCGTTGAGGAACTGGACATGAATGCCCGAGGAGGCTGAAGGCTGTATCCCCTGCATCTCCTGCAGAAGTGCCTCAGCTCAATCAATGTGTAGCCAACATAAATTCACTGACAACTGACCATGGACAAGAAGCCTGAGCTCGAGCCATAGCCTGGTCTGGAGCCAGTGCCATCTCCTTGCTGCGAACCTGATCTACCCACAGATGCCCCTGCAACCCTTCCTGCCATGGCACACAGCCGTACTGCTGGTCAAGGAACCGTTGCAACATCAGCTGAAGACCTTGCTCTGTTGTCTGCCAGGTGTGCTCTCTGATCAGCAGCCTCAGTGGCTGCAAACGGCTCTTAAAGTGTGTTGGGAGCATTGGGGCTCTTCCGAACGCTGCCGAAGCTGCAGTCTTTTCCACTTCGGCCCGGCGAGCTCTCTCATCTGCAGCCTGAGTGGCTGCAAAAAGAAGCTACAGTCATGCATCCTCCAATCCTCGAATGCAGTCGAAGTTGCATTCTTCTCGAATTCCGCAGCCCGAACTCTCTGCTCGGCAGCCTCAGTGGCTGCAAGACAAGAATCTAGAGTCGTTGAACGATCAATTCCCCTTAACTGCAGTCGAAGTTCTGCCCAAGCTGCAGTCTTCTCTGCTTCGGCCCGGCGAGCTTTCCAAACTGCGGCCTGAGTGGCTGCAAAAACAAGCTACAGTCATGCATCCTTGAATGCGGTCGAAGTTGCATTCTTCTCCAACTCCGCTGCCCGAGCTCTGAACTCGGCAGCCTCAGTGGCTGCAAGACAGGAATCTAGAGTCATTGAACGATCAAATCCCCCTGAGTGCAGTCGAAGCTGCATTCTTGTCGGCCTGGGTGGCTCGAGCTTTCTCGTCTGCGGCCTGAGTGGCTGCAATAAGGAAGGTAGAGTCAGACATCCTGGAATGCAGTCTTAGCTGCATTCTTCTCTGCTTCGGCAGTACGAACTTTCTCGTCTGCGACCTCAGTAGCTCTAGAACAGAAACTCGAGCGAGACATCTTCAATGACCGAGGCTTAGTGCAGCCGAGGCTGCACGCTTCTCCACTTCAGCCAGCCGCGCTCTGTCTTCAGCTTCCTCGGTGGGTGTGGAAAAGGGTTCAAGAATATCTAGAACTCCGAATGCAGCCGAAGGCGCATTCGCAGCCAACTCGGCTGCCTGGGCTCTGTCATGGCCGCAAAGAACATCTAGAATTCCGAATGCAACCGAAGCTGCATTCTGGGCCGACTCGGCTGCCTCGGCTCTGTCATCACCACAAAAAAAGGCAAGCACACGAGAGCCAGCCAAAGGCACCTCTCTTTGTTCACGGAGGTGATCCGTGAGCCGCCTCTGGTACGCCGGCTTCTTCGCACGTTGATCTCCTGACTTATTCTTCTTCTTTCCCATGGCTGTGCGAGGCGTCAGGAGGGCGAAGTGTCCCAGTGTCCCAGTGTGTGTGTGTGTGTGTGTGTGTGCTCAGAGCTGATGCTGTGATGGTGGTGCTTTTGCCTGTGTTTTTGCCAGTGTTTTGTCCCAGTGCTGCTGCTGATGCTGGTGCCTCGGTGGCTCTCATCCATCGTGAGTTGTTCCCACATGTCATGCTCTGAAGCGCTGGGAGCCTTATGCACTGCAAGGACTGGTGATGCTCAGCTGCACATGGCCCCCACTGTCAACTGCATATGAACAAGCAGGGCGCACTAGCTGGAGGTTGCTGTCGGAGAAGCAGCTCACAGCCTGCACACACACACACACACACACTAGACCACAATGCACAGATCAGACGGCAGGCAGCAGCTTGCCTGCCACTGCTTCATCCCTGCACCTTGGCCAGCATAATGGTGAGCAGTCAGGTGTCTGAAATCGCAAGTCACAGGCACGGCTGGACCGTTTTTTTTCTCCTCCGCTTCAATGCGGCCGGACAGGAGGTGGTGGGGGAGCGACGTAGCCAAAATGGCGGAAGAAGGTCCCCATGCCAGTCCTGGCCGCATCGGTTTAGGGTTTAGGGTGTATCGTTCAGGGTTTCGGGTTCGGGACGAGGGTTTAGGGTTTAGGCCCGAGCCTCGGCGGCACCACAATGTGTTTCGGTCGCGGCCTGTGCAGGTCTAACGATATTTGTTCAATACAGCTTTCCAACCCTCAGCCCTAAACTAAACCCCTAAACCCTTAAACCATAACATGGCATGACATGCATGTACATGAAGGCATGAAACCTAAGTTCAAAAACTCTACAACCCTGAGGCTTCAACCGGAACCGTGGCATGGCACAACATGCATGACATGACATGATACATGACGACCGTGAAAATCCGGCTCCGAATTGCCAGCCTTGCCAGATCTGCTCCTGCATTTGGCCTGACCAAAATCAGAGTGCACCTTTTGAAGGCTGAATCTCTGAACCCAACGTCACCCCTGCCTTGGTCCAGCCGGCTCATCCTCCTTCTCTTGTCCATTGGCCGACTCATCTTGCCTGACCAAAATCAGAGTGCACCTTTGAAGGCTGAATCTCTGAACCCAACGTCACCCCTGCCTTGGTCCAGCCGGCTCATCCTCCTTCACTTGTCCATCTGCCGACTCATCTTGCCTGACCAAAATCAGAGTGCACCGTTTGAAGGCTGAATCTCTGAACCCAACGTCACCCCTGCCTTGGTCCAGCCGGCTCATCCTCCTTCTCTTGTCCATTGGCCGACTCATCTTGCCTGACCAAAAACAGAGTGCACCTTTTGAAGGCTGAATCTCTGAACCCAACGTCACCCCTGCCTTGGTCCAGCCGGCTGATGTTCGTCCTCCTGGACTTGTCCATGGTCATCTGGCCTGAACAAAATCAGAGTGCACCCATGAAGGCTGAATCTCTGAACCCAACGTCACCGCTGCCTTTGTCCAGCCGGCTGAGTTTCATCTTCCTTGACTTGTCCATCCACCGCCACATCTGGCCTGAACAAGTCTGGGTGCAACCATGAAGGCTGAATCCAATGTCACCCGTGCCTTCGTCCGTCCGGCTCAGGTTCATCCTCCTTCAACAGGCCATCCACCACCTCATCTGGCCTGAACAAGTCTGGGTGCACCCATGAAGGCTGAATCTTTGAACCCAACGTCACCCCTGCCTTG